CCCTGAAGCACATTTAATTAGGATGCCTGTATTGGCCCAGACTGGGAATCGTTCCAGCAAACCACAGATCTCAGTTTGGAATTAATTCCCACAAATGAAAGATAGGCATTTGAAGGATCCTGTTACAAATATTTGAGGAAAGCTCTTTATTCAGATTATTTTGCAGGTTGGATTCTACATTTTAAATGGCCCCCAAAGGGAAGACCTAATAGGGGAGTTCACTTTCATCAACTACATGGGTGCTGGCGTAATCATTTACACTGCCATCTCCTCATCCATGGTGAAATTTTAGAAGAGAGTGGGAATTTTGAGCCCAGACACATAACCATCTACACATGTCCCCCCAGGTGCTGTCCTGCCACGATCAGGATTGTGGTGGTGGTGGTGATTTTGTTATCTAGATGAGTTTTGCTACCAATTCACCTAGTTTTTAGTGTTTAGGGAATGCTTTTCACAGAGGAGCATTGCATCATAAGAGTAACTCTTTCAACACCATCCTTGTTAGTTTGAAGCTGTGCAATCAAGGTATATATTAGTCACATATAATAATTAGTTAATGAGAAGGAGGACAAAGACAACACCGTTTGTGGGCAGCGCTTGACTCCTTGATAAGCGTAGCTTAGAATCCTACCACCAAGTCCATGTGAAACAACAGCAAAACTAAATACTGAATTGGCAAATTTTTTCACTGCAGAAATTTTGGACCACAACTCCTTTAACCTCAATTAGTAGTGCTCAGAACAGTCTAGAGTTTTTCAGGTTGACTATCTAGGGAGCAGAGTATTGTTCACTCAGGAGACGTTGGGTTGAAACGTTTGTTTTGATCCCTCATACGAAGCTTGTTGAGTGAAACTTGGGTTGGCTATTGTCTGCTAACCTTATCTACATTACAGAGTTATGAGAATTAAGGGTGAGGAGGGTAGATCCTTGGCTAGTTACTGTGCTGGTCTACCTCATAGGGGTTTTGTAAGAATAAAGTATGCGAGGAAGGGGGAATCTTCTCTTTGGTAGAAAGATGGGGAACAACTGTAAGTTTTAGAAGAGACAGCTTGGAGTATGCATTCTCTTATGTCTTCTTCTGCGAGGAATTCTGAGCCTCATATTTGGGTCTTCAACCCACCCATCATTCCCATCTATTTGCTCTTCACATCTCTCTTATGATGTAGGTCTTGGTGAAAGTTCATGACTTAGCCAAGATCACCTGGGCAGTTTGTGGATAATTGCTGGTGGGCATCTTAAGTACCTTTTTCCTTTTTCATGCGAAGCATCAGTAGGATTTAGAAGATGGTATGGAAGTACTCTTATTTATTTATTTTATTTATTGGACTTGTATAACGTATTAAAACATGTTTAATACGTTCCTATGGGCTAAAAACCTACGTTAAAGCGAAATTGTAGGTCTTGGTGAAAGTTCATGACTTAGCCAAGATCACCTGGGCGGTTTGTGGATAATTGCTGGTGGGCATCTTAAGTACCTTTTTCCTTTTTCATGCAAAGCATCAGTAGGATTTAGAAGATGATATGGAAGTATTCTTTTTAACCACTGCGCCACGAGGCTCATAGTAAAATAACAGCATAATCAAACAAATAACAGCATAATCAAAGTAAAATAACAGCATAATCAAACAGTCCAGAACTCTCTGTATACTGAAGCCAGTATAGCCAGAAGATAGACCAACATCTTCTGGAGGAGTGGTGAATCTCTGGCCTTCTAAATGTTTTGGACTACAGTTCCCATAACTCTTCATCATTGATCATGCTCAGTGACATGGATGGGAACATCATCTGGGCAATAACTGATATACTAGTAGACTTGTAAAAATTTAACTAAGTGATTTAATAGTGGTAATAACAAGAAGAAAACTCATCCCAACGTTGTGAAGAAAGCAAACAGAGATTACCTGGAGTAGAATTTTGTACAAAAGCATTGTTCTGGGCTCAAAACAAATTTCTAGGCTTATAATTATTTAATCTGAAGCATGCATTCTTGCTCCTAGTTACAGCTGATAGATTTGAGGACCCTAGTAGAAACATGCACACAGCAAAACTAGAAAAATGTGGGGTTTTGGCGTGAATGAATTATTAGTTAATGGATTGGCACTTTGGTAAAATTGTAGCACTGAGTTTTGAACTCTGAATATTGAGAGAGGCTGGTTAGCACTTCACCCAAGAGTGCCCTCTTTCTACAGAATGATTCACAAAGAAGGCTGAAAACAGATTGTAGCCCTAAGGTTTATGAAAACTGAAGCTGAGCTTAAAATGGCCTGAGCTCCCTGCCTGAGCCTTGTGCAGAAAAAACTAAACCATTGTTAGTGGAATGTGTGCATGCCTCTTGCTTACACACTCAGTTATCCTGCACAGCCAAAGTTTTGTGTATACAGTGGTGCCTCGCTTAATGATTACCTCATTAAATGACGAATCTTCTTTACGATGGTTTTTTTGTGATCGCTATTGCAATCGCAAAATGATGTTCCTATGGGGAAATTTCGCTTCACGACGATCGGTTCCCTGTTTCGGGAACCGATTCTTTGCATTACGATGTTTTTCAAACAGCTGATCGGCGGCTGTTCAAAGTCATATTGACCAGATAGGCGGGATATAAATAGAATGAATGAATGAATGAATAAATAAATAAATACATACATACATAAATACATAAATAAATACATAAATAAAAGTGGCCACCCGCTGTGCAAAATGGCTCCCTGCTGTTTTTAGGACGGATTATTCACAAGACAAGCACCGGAAAATGGCTGCCCTATGGAGGATCTTCGCTGGACAAGCAGGTATTTAGCCCATTGGAACGCATTGAACGGTTTTCAGTGCATTTCAGTGGGCTTTTTCATTTCGCTTGATGACGATTTTGGTTAACAACGATTTGAATGGAATGGATTATCATTGTCAAGCGAGGCACCACTGTATTTTCAACAAACCTTGACTTGTGACGACATACATAGTACCCAGTGTTGTTAAGAGCAAAATGTAATTTACAGAAACAAGCTAACTTCAAACTAGTTAATTATCCTGGTTTATTTCAATAACCATAGTGCAGACCATGGAGGATCTTCGCTGGATGAGCAGGTATTTAGCCCATTGGAATGCATTGAACAGTTTTCAATGCATTTCAGTGGGCTTTTTCATTTCGCTTGATGACAATTTTACTTAACAACGATTTGAACGGAATGGATTATCGTCGTCAAGCGAGTCACCACTGTATTTACAACAAACCTTGACTTGTGACAACATACATAGTACACACTTGGACAGTGCTTAGAGCAAAATGTAATTTACAGAAACAAGCCAACTTCAAACTAGTTAATTATCCTGGCTTATTTCAATAACCATAGTGCAGACTACATACTTTATGCTTGTTGGATAAACTTTGCTTTCGGCTACAACTGTGCGGCCCACTAAACAGAGACAAGTACAGTATAAAGTAACAATTCGGACAACTAGACATAGGGATTCAGAAGGAAGGGGGGCTCTGAGTGCATGCTTAATCCAGGAATGCATGATTGTTGTGTTGCCACAGCCAAACCCCCAGTTCCATTTGTATTTAAAAGCCTGCTTCTCCGTTAAGTGTTTTAAAGTTCTGGTGGGTGGATTTTTAAAAAAAATTCTATTGTATTATTAGACAACTGGCAGTTGGAAACCCTTGTCATTGTACTACAAATAATCCAGAAGTCTTCAAGAGAAATCCCAATCTGTGTTCTGTTTTAGGTCTGCTATACTCAAAGTTTGTCACTACTGGCTGGAGCGTCTGAAATTTGAAGTCCAAAACATCTTAAGGTCAAAAACTGCAGGTCTAAACCACACAGTGTCCCGTTGTAGCTATCCGCCCATCAATATTTTTCTGTGAAAGGCTTCCTGTTGGCGTCACCATTGTTTGACGTGAGTCAGGTGACTGGCAGAGGGTATTTTGTTAGTTACTTCGGTTGCACATTAGTTACCTCGTTTGTGCATACCTTGTTTGTGCAATTCTTTTCCTGAGTTTTATGTCTGCTATACTCAGAGTTTGTCACTACTGGCTGGAGCGTCTGAAATTTGAAGTCCAAAACATCTTAAGGTCAAAAACTGCAGGTCTAAACCACACAGTGTCCCGTTGTAGCTATTTGCCCATCAAACTTTTTCTGTGAAAGGCTTCCTGTTGGTGTCACCATTGTTTGACGTGAGTCAGGTGACTGGCAGAGGGTATTTTCTTAGTTACTTCGGTTGCACATTAGTTACCTCGTTTGTGCATACCTTGTTTGTGCAATTCTTTTCCTGTCCTGCCACTTCTTCATAGGATAGCTATGTCTTCTAATAGTTGTGCAGAACAAAGAATTCTGGAATATTAAAATTAAAAATTAAAGACAAAAGAGCTCCTTCCTCATTTGCATATGGCCTCTCCATCATCTTTTCTCATATTTTAAAAAACACTCCTCCAAGTCAAGGTATTTTATTTATTCCTCCAGTGAATTGAATGAGGCATACGTAATTCTCTGCCTCTTTGCCGTATTCTTACAACTCTGGGAGGTTAGCTAAGCTGAGAAACGTTGACAGGCCCAGGTTGACCGAGCTAATGGTGGAGTTCAGTGGGCAATGGATTCTGGACCTCCCTCGTCACAGCCCAGCGTTCTTGCCGGTGTCATCGTTTTTTTCCACCTCTTCAGGCTTCCCCAGAATTGATGCTGCATATTTATGTGACTTTTCAGACGCTGTCCTTCAACATTTAGACAAGTCATATAAAATGACCTTTTTGCAATGGCAGGAGAAATGAATTCCCGGCCACCACTTGCAGGGGAGAGCACCCCCTTGATTTAAAACCGTTCAGGCTGAGCGTTCGTTCACCTCTTGACAGTTTACTGAATTGTAGCATGCAGGATCATTGTGGTTTTATTCCAGCTTTATAATCCCCGGTTCTTTGCACACGATGAGTGGCTGGTGTCCAAAGATCATAGTGGAACTAGAGCTGGTGGAAGTCCTGAAACAAATAATATTCAGTCCTTCTGATTTTCTAGGGACACAATGGCGAGAGGCGCAGATTCGTGATCTGAAAGATGCTCTGAAGGATGTCGACTCTGACATCCCCCTCGTTTTTGTCAGTGGGAACCATGACCTCGGGAACACACCAACTCCGGAGACGACTGAGAATTACTGCCAGCATTGGGGTGATGACTACTTCAGCTTTTGGGTCGGAGGCACCTTCTTTCTGGTGCTGAATTCTCAGCTTTACTTCGATGCTTCTGAAAGTCTGGAATTGAAGCAGGCTCAAGACGCGTGGCTCGACAAGCAGCTCGCCCTGGCGCAGGAGAAGAAGTGCAAACACGCCATCGTGTTTCAGCATATCCCCCTGTTTCTCCAAGAACCGGAAGAAGAACATGACTACTTCAACCTGGAGTCATCCATTCGGCACATGCTCTTGGAAAAATTCTGCAAAGCAGGTACAATGGCTTTCAGGCCTTAGAAGTAAAAAAAAGTTATAAGTAATGCAGCTGCCAACTAGTGGTGGGTGGTAAGGCTGCATCTGAAAAGTAACACAATGAATTGGGGAAAATCATCGTCTGTATGTGTCTGTGTAACAAGTAATATTTTAGAGTAACTAACTCTTCAAGGGTATTTTTATGCTCTTTCTAGAGCAATTTTTCAATTTCAGTATTCTGTTACCACTATGGCATTTGTTCTGTCTGCCTGTCTGTCTATATCTATCTATCTATCTATCTGATTTTTTTCCTCGAAAATTGCTGCAGTGTTTATGCCAACAAATTATTTTGTTGGCTTTCTAACATGTTACATAGTGAAAGAGTTTGAAAGAGTAAGCTCAGAGAGCAAGCAGCACATTAACACTTGCCTCATATTTGCTTTTCACTGACAACCTGTGGCTAAGCTGGTTGGGGGCTAGGGGCACTAGATACCAAAGTCTTCTGAAGAAACCAGGATGGAGAAAGTAGCTGCAGATCTTAAGGTGAAATCTGTTTGTTGTTATTCCCCCATTAAGTTCCTTCATAGAGTGCTATCTGCCTTGTTTCTGGTCTGTACAGTGGTGCCTCACTTAACGATTGCCCCGCATTACGACAAATCTGCTTTACAATGATCTTTTTGCGATTGCAAAATGATGGTCTAAATGGGAGAATTTCGCTTAGCGATGATCGGTTCCCTGCTTTGGGAACCAATTTTCACTTTACGACGATCAAAAACAGCTGATCGCCGGGTTTTCAAAATGGCCACCAGGTGCTTAAAATGGCTCCCTGCTGTGCTTAGGGACGAATTCCACACTCTACAGGCAGCGGAAATGGCCGCCGTATGGAGGATATTCGCTGGACTGTGAGTTTTTACCCCTTTGGAATGCTCGGTTCCCTGCTTTGGGAACCAATTTTCACTTTACGACGATCAAAAACAGCTGATCGCCGGGTTTTCAAAATGGCCACCAGGTGCTTAAAATGGCTCCCTGCTGTGCTTAGGGACGAATTCCACACTCTACAGGCAGCGGAAATGGCCGCCGTATGGAGGATATTCGCTGGACTGTGAGTTTTTACCCCTTTGGAACGCTTTGAACGGGTTTCATTGCGTTTCAATGGGGTTTTTAATTTCACTTTACGATATTTTAGCTTAATGGCGATTCTCCAGGAACGGATTATCGTCGTTAAGCGAGGCACCACTATACTGCAAAAAATATGTATAAACTGTGATTTAGTATGTATAAATTGTGCTGTAGCTTTATACTGTAAACAACCTCATTTCAGATTATTTACTCAGTTTTACTTCCTGTTGCCTTTCAGCAGTGAAGTGATTCAGTATTCTGACTTAGCACTGGGTTTTTTGTTTGTTTGTTTGTTTGTTTGTTTGTTTTGGAGAATCAAGCCTTCCTGGCCCTCATTTTTAAGCCCCAGTGCAGGAGAAAGAAGTATGTAGCTACCCAGTTATCTCTTGTGTTGGACAAAGAAATATGGGAGAGAACATTGTGCTTCAAAATCTGTCCATAGTGTCAATTTTTAAAAAAGAATTGCCTAGGCGACCTTACCCCAGTCTTCAGATATGTTGAACTACAAAGCTGTCAAACATACAGTTCAATGCATTCCAATGGGGGGGAGGGAAATTCACCAAAAATTAACGAAGTCTCAGAACAAAGCCAAATTAAGTTTGCAAAGGTTTTACAGGGTGCACTCACGATTCCAAGCATTTTTTTTAAAAAAATTAAAATTTTAAGACACATTTAAAATAGCTAAAACGGACATCGCTAAGCGAAACAAGGGGACCTAAACTGTCATCGCTAAGCGAAGCAAGGTCCCGAACATCGCTATGCGAAATTTCCCCATTGGAAACATCGCTAGATGGAGCGCAAGATCGCTCCAAAAACCTCATTGCTAAGCGAATACATCGTTAAACAAGGCAATCACTAAGCGAGGCACCACTGTAATTTAAAATATGCTGATAACAACACATTACTGGTAGAAAGTAAAATGACTTGAAACAACTTCTGATGAAAGTGAAAGAAGTGGCAAAGCAGATTGATGACTACGCCTTAATGTCGACAATGAAGAATTGAAATGGTTAAAATTTTTGTGTGCTTTGGTTCAATCATCAACCCGGATTGAAATTGCAGCCAAGAAATCAGAAGAAGACTAAGAGTCAGATGAGCAGCTATGAAGGAATTAGAAATAAGAATAGTATGATCATCTTAGAACTACAGAAGTGGAAGGGATGAATCATCAGCTCTAAGTCTTGTCAAGGAGGCATAGTCAGGAATCAAACTAGATACCTGAACCACTGAGCTACTCAGCAGTTAAGTGATTCTCAAGTGTAAGGATGTGTCACTGGAAACCAAATCCACTGTTGTATTCCTAATTACAGTATAATGTAAAAGTAAAGAAAGTCAACAGGAGAAAAAAGTGGTGAAGAGCTCAAACCTAGTTCAAACTTTAGCAAGGACTGTTGTACTTGGGGCACATCATGAATAGACAAGACTCATTGGAAAAGACAGTAAAGCTAGAAAAAGTTGAAGGCAGCAGGAGAAGAGGAAGACCAAATATGGAATGGATTGATTTCATAAAGGAACCATAGCCTTCGGTTTGCAAAGCCGAGCTGTGCTGTTAATGACTGGGCATATTAAAAGTTGCTCATTCGTAGAGTTACCATAAGTTGAAAGTGATTTGATAGCACATAGCAGCAATTGATGGTGTGGAGGCATGCCCACTCATTGTGGCAACAGTAAATTCACATACAGACAGAGGGAGCTGGCTCAGAGATTTAAGGGTCTTTGGGCACAGTGTCCTGTCGTAGGCTGCTTCTCATTTTGCCCGCCTCTCCAGTACAAGTGGATTTGTATAAGCTATGATTTTGACTTCCTGCAAAATTATGGCTCTTCCAGTATTGTGACACTCTAGGACATGGTAATGAATTTGAATATAAGGCATAGAACTTCAGATGCTGTTTCAGACAGATGTTAGTACTTTGGGCCTTGGTCAAGTTAATGAGATTCTGGTAGTTGAGCTTAGGTGCTAGTTGTTAGCCCAGAATTTGCAGGCGAAATTACCGTATTTTTCGCACCATAAGGGGGGTGGAAAGTCTGTGCGTCTTATGGAGCGAAGAAAACAGATTATATTTTCCTGTTTTCTTCTCCTAAAAAATTGGTGCGTCTTATGGAAAGGTGCGTCTTATGGAGCGAAAAATACGGTACTTGGCTCCGGTCTGTCCCTTATGGTGTGCATGTGTGTGTTGTAAACATTTATACCACCCGATTAGCGTGAGACACTACTCTGGGTGGTTAACAGTCAAATGAAAGCAAGTACAGTAATACAACCAGAAAAATAAGCAATGTACAATACAGTGGAATCAAGCAAGTCAAAACGTCATATAACAAGCCAGTCAAAACTGGACTGGAAGCACAACTTGGCTAATTCATGTGTGGATGCCATTGAAAGCCTCTAAAAAGAGCATTGTCTTAAGCAACCTCTTAAAGGTTGGGAGGGAGGGGACCAGGCATAGTTCAACCAGAAACCGTTCCAAAAGGCTGGTGCCAGAACTGAGAAGGCTTACTTTCGGGTTAATGTATTTCTGGCCTCCCGCAGTGTGGTACCCTGAAGGAGTGTAGCTTGGAAGGATCTGGTGGCACAGGTCAGTGTTCTGGGGAAAAGATGCTCGAACAGGTAATAAGGCCCCAGACCATAGAGGGTTCAATGGGTAAGCACCAAGACCTTGAACCTGACCCAGACTGTCCCATGAGTATGTTGTTGCATTGTTGTTTTGTTTTGTTGCATTGCATGTAAACATTTTATAGAAATCAGAAGGGTGTTGTCCAGTTAAAAATGTCATAATACTATACAGTGGTGCCTCGCAAGACAAATGCCTCGCAGGACAAAAAACTCGCAAGATGAATGGTTTTAGCAATGGGGTTGATGAGACGAATGTTCCTATGGCCATGCTTTGCAACATGAGTGTTTTCCATTTTTTTGGTCCTGCCTCATGTTTGCTATTGTTTGCTATAGCCATTTTTTGGTCCTGCCTCATGTTTGCTGTTGTTTGCTATAGAAATGTTTTTCTGTGATATTTAAAAAGTTAAAGTTTATTGATCAAAATTTTTGAAATCATCTACACAATATGTATGGCTCTAAAGAGCACTTAATAAACCCTTTGTAAACCAAATTTGTCTTTGTTCTGACTTATTTTGCCCATAGGAACGCATTAATTAGATTTCAATGCATTCATATGGGAAAACACTTTTCTCAAGACGAATTTTTCGCAAGATAACATTAACCGCAGAACGAATTAAATTCGTCTTGCGAGGCACTGCTGTATGTTTTACTCATTTAATAAACTGAGTAAATTGCTTAGGTTTTTGTATAAGGAAGAAATTGTTATAAAAGAGAAAGAAACATGCTTTCTTCATTTTTAGAAGATACACAGACAGACACAAAGACATAAGTTGGAGAAGGCATCTTTGAAGAGACAGTCTAATCGTGGGCAGGAGGGAATGCCACTTTTAAGATTATGCTTGCCTTTCACAGCTTGTATTGATTGCTTTTATTAAAACTACTTGCTCAAAAACACTTTGATGAACTGATAGAGATGCCCTGATTAATTTGCTTCAGTAAATGTTGGAATCTATTACATGGTGTGTGGAATTTTGTATGTATATTGTTAGTTACATGCTGTCAAGCTGTGATTGACTTCTAGCAACCCGAAAAGGGCTTTCAGGGTAAGTGAGATGTTTAAGAGATGGTCTCAGCAGTTCCTTATGGCCAAGTTGGGATTTGAAGCTTGGTCTCCAGAGTTGTCGTCTATCACTCTACCTACCAAACTACACCGGATACCCCTTATGTGTGGATATATAGGTAAACAATTTGAATGACTGATCTTTTTCCTTTCTGTCAAACACTCATATTAATTAACACGCACACACCAAAAAAAAGAAGAAAAAGAAGGTGGCTTGTTCAGTTATAAAGTA